AGAGCACCCCAGGCTGGAGAGGGCAGGCAGGGCTGGGATGGTGGCCCTGCTCGGAGCCCCGGCTGCTCCGGGAGCACAGACCTGTCATTGCTGGGAAGTGGGTCAGGCAGAGCAGCTTGGATGACATCTGTGCCCTCTGGCAAATGAGGGGGCTGGTCAGAGGGCAACAGGGAGAGAGAACTGTCCCTGGTCCCCCTGGACCCCGGCATTGGCTAGGCAAGCTCACCCCCACAGCTGCTGAGTGAATCTAGCTTTGTGGCGGGAGGTGGCCCTGCCCTGCCTCCCAGCCCCTCTGGACTGAAGCTCTCTCTATCTTCTCTCAGTGGTGGTGCAGCTCCTCCTACTCCAGTTACTGCAGTGTTGTGGGTTACGTGCTGGGCTGCTCACTGCAAGGTCAGCGGTTCGAAACCACCAGCTGTTCCTCGGGAGAACAATGAGGCTTTCTTAAAGGATTCCAGTCTTGGAAAACCACAGGGGCAGTTCAGAATCCACTCGATGGCGGGGAGTTGGGGAGTCTCAGGCCACTCATTCCTGGTCCTGCTTTTTCCGGTTTGAGTTGCTCCATCCAGAAAGAGCCTGTGAGATCTCTTCACAGTCTGGAAGCCGTGCCAAAGCCCAGCCTACGGAGGAGGCAGTGTTGGATGGGTGCCCACCTGCAGCTACACACTAGCTCGTAAGTGGGTCACCCGCACAACCTTAAGCAAGTGGCTTCATTTCCCCCCAACATGCTGCTGAGGAGCCTTGGTGGCACCGGGAATTAAGCACAGGGCTGCTAATGGATAGGTCTGAGGTTTGAAAGCCCCAGTCTCTTTATGGGAGAAAGAGGCGGCAGTCGGCTTTCAGGGGTTCAGCCTCCAGACTCAATTGGAGCAGATTTGGTTTGATTGAATGCACCCCTCATGACTCTGGGGGTAGAACTCCATGCCAGGTTGGGTTTATTGCTACTATTTGCAGAACACAGGGGCACAGGTGGTTCTGTGGTAGAATTCTCCCCTTCCACTGGGGGGACCTGAGTTTGACTCCCACCTGTCTGCCAGTAGAGGGGTGTGTGGTGTGTTCTGAGAGGCTGAGCAGGCTCTGGTGGAGCTTGGGGAAAGGGTTGGAGGACCGCTGGGGTCAGCCCAGGGAAACCCCGTGGACTACATGGCCACGCTGGCTGTGGAGCTGGCTCCGGGCAGGGCGGCCCAATGGGTAGGGGAACAACAGTGTGTGTAAGAACCCAGGGTAGGGACTGGCCAGCACAGTGCGGGGAGGGCTCTGCTAGAAAGAGCAACCCCGGGTCCTCCATCCACATGGTGGCTGGCCACCTGCCAGTCATGGGGAGCAGAGCCACTCTCCAAAGGCAGTGTTTAAGGAGTGTATGTGAGAGTGTACATGAGTGTATACATGTGTGTGTCTGGTATGTGTATGTATGTGAATGTGACTATGAATGTATGTGTGAAAGAGACTGTGTGTATATGTATATTTGTGGGTATATATATATATATATATATATACTCATGTATGTATGTGTGTAATGTGATTTGTGTGTCTTATGAATATACATTTGAGTGTGAGTATGTAAGTATATATGTGAATGTGTATATGTAGATGAGTGCATGTCTGTGAAAGTATGTGTGTGTACGTTTATGTGTGAGTGCATATGTATGTTAATGTGTGTCTTGTGCATGTATGTGCGTGTAAGTGAAAATGTATGAGTGTATGTCTTGTGAGTGTGTCTATGTATGTGAATGTGTGAGTGTATGTGAATGAGGAGAGGGGGACACATGGGCTGGCTGGTTGAATGGACTGTGGTCGGGGCAGGGCTGGGACCTTCTCTCTGAGCTGGCGCCTCTCTGGACGGGTCCCCTCGAACAGTGAGCTCAGGTCTGCACGGGGTGGCCCAGCGTTTCCTGTCTCCTGCATCCAGAGGAGGCAGTTTTGGATGGGTGCCCACCTGCAGCTTCACACTTGCTCATAAGTGGGTCACCCGCATGACCTTAAGCAAGTTCTAAGCTGCTGATTAGAGGTGGTGATCTGCTTCCCAGTGCCCCTGGCAGAGGTCAGGCTCAGAGTCTGACTGACAGGCTGCCTTTTCTCCCCGAAGTCTTGCCTGGGGTGGGGAGGAGGACTGGGTGACAGCCCCCTCTGCTGAGCCCTCCCCCCTTCCCCAGCTCTGCTCCCCCTGCCCCTTGGCAGTGCCCTCAGCCTGGTGAGACCATGGCTGTCCATGACTGGCCGCATAATTGTTTTCTTTTCAGCTCGGACTGGGCCGCCCTTTGTGCAGACTTGCTGCTCCTCGATGAAGCCTTACTGATTGTGAAGACTTCAATTCTGCCCTCTCCATGGACTTCCAGCGGGTATCCTCACTGGCTGGCTTCATGGCAGGCAGGCAGAGAAGGGAGAGGTTGGCTGGGCCCCTGCATTTGAACTTGCTCCAGGGCCTCCCAGGAAGAACCCCGCTCCCCTGGGAGCTGGATAGGCTGCTTGTACCGGATAGGATGCCTCACCAGGGCTCTGTACTTGTATCTGCCTTAGAGAGATGCTGCAAGGGCTGGGGCCCCGAGCAGCTGGACTGTGGCCCCATGGCATGGTCTCTCCTGGCCCCAAAGGGGTATCCCTGTACTCAAAGCACCCCACTACTGCAGTTGGTGATGAGTGGCTGTCGACGTGTCCTCTCCGGCCAGGAGAGCTGCAGTGCAGCCAAGTCCAACAGCGCCGAGGGAGTGCCCAACCGGCCCTGGACAGCCACTGGGGAACGTCGGACCCAAGGACTAATGAATAAGTGAATGAAATGTCTACACCTCACCTCCGCTCCTTCTCCCGGGGAGCGCTGTCACAGACTCAAAGGCCTGAAGAGATGGCTTCTTGGGGAGGAGCATTTGAATATTGAAATCCCCTGACCTTTTTTCATGCCACGACACGTGTGATGGATGACATTCAGACGTGTGGCACGTCCCTCTTCCCAGTCCCAGAGGGCTCACTGTGAGTCCCCTCCCCTCCACCTCCTCTGTGGGGAAGCCTGTTGGACTGTGAGGGAGGCAGGCTGCTGTTGCCAGAGGGATAACCTTGAAGTTCTTCTATAAAGTCATGGCCAAATGGTGCCCCTGGCAGGGGTACTGTAATGAAACAGAGATAGCTGCTGATCAGGATGTGCTGGTTGGTGGGGCTGGCAGCGTTAGCTCCTGCTCCATCAGATGACAGGGCAGTTAGGCTAATTGGGGAACGAAGACACGCATTTCCTGCTCTTGAGACGGGGCTGAGAGCAAAGCCCCAATATTCGAGTAGAGGGCATGTGGACGGAGCCTCTGCAGTGGGACCCCAACCACTAGCATTGCCCCTCGCTTGGAGGCAGAAATGAGATGTGAGGGTGAGCAGGAAATTGGGTGGAATGGGGGTGGGAAATGAGTGAGAGAGTAGATGGGAGCATGATGGGAGAGTGATGGGGAGATGGAAGGGAGGGTGGCAGGGAGAATGGATGGAAAGATGGAAGGATGGACAGAAGATGGATGGATGGATGGATGGATGGATGGATGGATGGATGGAATATGGGTGGAAGGATGGGTGGGAGGATGGATAGGAAGATGTTGGGAGGGTAGCTGAGAGAATGGATGGAAAGGTGTGTGGATGGATGATGGATGCATGGATGATTGATGGAAAGGTGGATGGGAGGATGGCAGGGAGGAGGGCTGGGAAGATGGGTGGGAGGGTGAGTTGGTGACGAACTTTGAGGAGACAGAAGCTGGGAGAGATGCTGATAGACTCACCCAGGCTGTTTCAACAGCAGGATCTGTGAGGCTTCCTTGCTTATTTGCTCTCCACCCGCGTCAAAGAGAGGATCAAACCCAAACCAAATTCACTGCCACCGGGTGCATTCCGACTCAGAGAGGCCTCATGGACAGAGTAGAACTGCCCCAAGGGATTTCTGAGACTGCAAATCTTTACAGGAGCAGACAGCCTCAGCTTCTCTCTTGGAATGTCTGGTGGGTTCAAACTGCTGACCTTGAGGTTAGCAGCCCAACAGGCAACCCACTGGGCCACCTGGGCTCCTAGAGAGGGGCCCAGCCAGGTAAGTTTTGTGGCTCGGCTATGGCGACGGTGCAGAAAGCTCCTCGGTGCTTCACCAACAGGCAGAGTGCACCAAAGAGTGTAAGCCCCACCCACAGGAGGAGCCTGCCACCTTCTGACCGCCAGGCTGTGGAGGTGCCCCTTGGGAGGGTAAAGTCAGGTTTCCAGTTCTACCTGCTGGAATGGGTGCTCCCCTTTGGCGAGTGGACTGCAGTCTGAGGTTTCCGCAGTGAGTGTGAGATGGATTTGCCCATCTCCAAGTGCATGTCCGGCCCAGGCATGCACACCCCTACACCCCCACCGCCCCACCAGATCCAGCCAGACCCAGCCACTTCACCCCCAGAAGGAAAGGAGGAAGGATTTTTCCAAGCCCTGGAAGCACGGTGAAAGATGGCTTTCCGGAGAGCACCATTGGTTGCTAAGAAACTAGTGGGATAAGAAATGGAAACCATCAAACCACTCCTAAAAATAACCAAGTGGACCGGGGCACTCGTGACCCGCAGCAGCTGGGTAGCAGAAATCTCATTTACGCTGAGCGGAAGGGGCAGCATTAGCTGGGCACACACATTCCTCTCACCCCGAGTCTCCGGGGGCTTGGGAAGGGTCCTCTATGCGGATGCCCCTTCCTGCCTAGTCTCCATCCCGTGTCCATGCTGTCCCTCCTCTCCGTGCCACACAGCAGGTGACCATGCCGAGGGCCCTGGAGTTGTATAATCAGGAGACTGAGTTTCTGTCCAGGAGGAGCGGTGAGGAACCTCTCCGGATAAGATCAGGCACAAGGGCCAGCGAGTCGGCTCTCTTCCCAACAGACCAGTTGGGAGGGCAGGCAAAGGATGTCCAAGGATACGGAACCAGGGGACAAAGCAAAACGGAGCTAGCCAGGCTACCACCCAATCCCAGTGACTGCCTGGGCTCCCTTCCTCGGTGTAAAGATGGAGACTGCCCTTCTAATGCTGGTTTCCATTCCAGTCCCCGAAGTGGCAGCCATTTCTGCTTCGGTTTCTGTGTCCAAGAAGTGCCACAGCGGGCTTCCTGTCTCGAAGCCACCAGGACACAGCCCACGGGGGCGTGGACACGCAGGAGGATTGTGTGCAGGGCCTCCCTGCACACAGTGCCAGGTCAGCAGGCGGGCAGGAGTGTGCAACAACCCCTAGTTCAGCAAGTCCCCGGCCCGGAGGGGACCACACCCCAGACCCCGGAGGGCATTACACCACAGACCACAGACCTGGAAGGGCTCCGTCATGCACCTGGCTGTGGGCCACATCCTGGGTAGGAAGCACCACCAGGCAACCTTTTGCTCCGTCATGCAGAGGCGTGGCCAGGAGTCAGAGCCAACTCAATGGTGCCTAGCAAGCCCCACAAGCAGCCCAGGTGGCGCAGCGGTTAAGCAGTACCAATACCAGCCCAAACCGCCAGCATGGTGGCTCCAAACCATCCACTCCTCTCTGTGGCCTCTCTGAGGCCGCCTGCTTCTGTGACCCCCTTGGGACCCTGATGGATGGAGCCTCCAGAGCCACTCTGCCCTGACGTTGACTAGAGGGTAACGGATGTGGGGCTGTTCTTTGTCTTTGTCTGGTTACCACCATCCACTCGCTGAGGAGCTGAGCTCGAAGCCCACTTCTCCCAAGTGTCCCACTTGTCTGGGCGGGTGGCACTGAGGGAGGGCGTGGGTCGGGAGCCCAGCCTCAGACAGACGGCACTGGCCACCGGCCTGGGAGCTCCTGGGCCAGAGGCCCGGCCCGAGACGGCCCTGCCTGGCCCCTGCCAGCACGGGCACTCACCTCTCCACCCAGCTCTTGTAGCTGGGGATGTCCTTGGCGTAGAGCAGCTTGTTGGAGGGCGAGTCCTTGCCCAGCCGGTGCTCGGACGTGGAGCACGAGTCCATGAAGGTCTGGGCCACCACCGAGAGGCAGGCGTCCGTGATGCTGCTCTTGTGGATGTCGAACACGAACTGCGGGTTCTTGATCATGTTCACCCAGAACCTCAGCGGCAGGCTGCGTGGGTGGGGGCAGGGGGTCAGAGCGGCAGGCGGCAGGGAACCCGCAGCTCTTATGAGCCAGGGAGGTGGCCCTGCTGGCGCCAACGTCAGGCGCTCCACTACCAGCTGATAGGTCGGTGGATTGAATCCACCCAGAGGGACCTGGGAGGAGCCCTGGTAGCAGAGTGGTGACAAGCTGGGCCGCTAGACCACAAGGTCCACAGTTCAAGACCACCAGCCCCTCTGAGGGAGAAAGATGAAGCTTTCTCCTCCGGTGAAGACATAGTCCGGGAACCCCCAGGGGCAGTTCTAGGATCGCTATGGGTTGACACCGACTCCACAACAGGGAGTGTTGGGTTCGGTCTGTCTCCCAGACCGTCTGGATAGCATGACTTCAAAACCAACGTCCTGCCACCATGTGGGTTTCCGATCTTTACAGGAGCAGACTGGCAGGTCTTCGCCCCGTGGAGCGGCTGGTGGGCTTGAACCACTGATGTAGTTACAGACCTAACAGGTGTTCTGTGTGTGTGTGTTGTCTGTCTGTTTCACAAATGAAAATAGTCTGCTTTCTTCATCTGACATTCTGAGCACCCGCCTGGGGCACCCCACCTCAGCCCCCAATTTGAGCTCATGTGGCCACTTCCACCCTGGGAATTCCAGGCTCTCCCTAACTCTCGCCTTCCTCATGGCCCTCAGTCCACTTGCTCTTTGATCCCCTCTCACTTTATGGGAGGTTTACCCAGCGTCCAGGCACGAGATGGCTGGGGTACTTCCTTGTCTTTTGGGTTTCTTGATATAGAGTGAAAAACAAACAAATAAAAACTGTCGTCTTGGTTGCTGTTGGTTTAAGATGATCCTGTTTGTCACTAAAGATCCCAAGACCATTTCAATTTGACTTTGTGTCCTCTTTTTTTTTAAGCCACTCAAACCACGATTTATACTTGAGGGTGAAGGAACTTGGAGGGATTTGTTTTGTTTTTAAAGACATATGATACACACACACACACACACACACACACACATATGGACACAGCTCATCTTAAGAAATGAGATCGACAACATCCTAGTAAATGCTCTGTCTATGTGGTTTGCCCCCCACTGCGTCCCTCCAACATTCAAGTGGGCCAGTCCACCACTGAGAATGTGTTCAGTCCCTTCAAAGTATGACTTAGGGGTGACAAGTTGAAGAGGTGACAAGCGTTTCATCATAAGCGCTCCAGAGGGGGAAAGCGTGGGACCCCTGGGGGCTGCAGAGAAGCAGGAGGCACGGAACTGGCTAGACGAGGACACAGCCATTTGACCCGCAGCCGCCCAGACTTCCAGGGATGGGGAGAGGGGTTGTGATCCAGGCTGGAATGAAGGACCCCAGCTTCCCAGCTAACACAGCTTCTCCCACAGCTTCTCCCTTTCCCAAAAGTCCCCCTCAGCCGATGAGCTGCTAACCTAAAGGTTGGCGGTTTAAACCCTGACAATGGTTCTGCAGCAAAGAGTCCTGGTGGTATAGTGGCAGCGCGTTGGACTGCTGATGGCAAGATCAGCAGATCAAAACCACCAGCGACTCTTGAAAGAGGAAGATGAGGCGTTCAACTCCTGTAGAGAGCTACAGTCTGGGGAAACCCCCAGGGACTGTTCTACCCTGCCCTATAGGGTCGCTATGAGTCAGCAGCGTGGACTTGGGGGCTGGGGGTGTGGAGGTTATGATTAGGTTTTTCTTGAATGGGTCTTGGAAAAAAGGTCTGATGGGGCAGTTCAACCCCGACATGGAAGCATCAGGAGTTAGAACTGACTCAACTTCCACTAGCAACAGAAATGTCCACTCCCCAGGGCAGGGACCCTGGGGACTCCACACCCACCGCCCCCAGGACCCCCCTCCCTTCCCCAGAAGCCAGCAGTTCCGGGAAGCCACCAAGGCACCTGCCCACTGAAAGATGAACATGTTACTAAGACGTGACTGCTCACTCATCTCTGATGGATTGCAGCCACTCAGGCTGCAACAATCTCGCTCCAACCAATGACAATGAACTCTAAGTGAACAAGCAGGTCTCTTCCATCCCAGACCAACCGTTTCCTGCCCAGGGCAGCAGCCTATCAGGATCCGGGGAAAGAAGGGTCGCTGGATGGGCGGACTGGGTTCCTTCCTAGGGACCCTGTCTGCAGTACTGAAGTTCTCGGGGTAACACCTTGCCCGTCTGTGCTTGGAAGGGCAGCTGGCATGAGAAGAGGCTCGCCTATGACCCCAAGGGCAGCATGAGCCCTCGGAGCCCCTTTAGCCTGGCAGCATGTCTGAACAGAGAGGAAGATGTTTAGCGGCCAGGTCTGGTGATGGGCTGCTGGGCTACAGAGAGAACGTGGGGGTACTTTGGAAATTCACCACTCCTCCAAGTGAGGCACATTGGTGGCTTGGTGGTATAATTCTTGCCTCCCATGCTGGAGACCTGGGTTCGATTCCCAGTCACTACACCTCATGCGTGGCCACTACATGCCTGTCGGTGGAAAATTCTATGTTGCTCCAGTGCTGAACAAGATGCAGAGCAACTTCCAGACTTAGACAGATTAGGAAGAAAGGCCTGGTGATCTGCTTCTGAAAAGCAGCCATGGAAACCCTGTGGATCTACCCGATCTCGGCTTCGAGCAGAAAGCCCAAGGATCTAACCCACTGTGAGAAGGGGGTGTGAGATTGGGCATGGATCTATTGGACCTGGGACCAGGCAGTGTTTCATCTTACTGTGCAATACCCCATGGCCATCAAGTCCACTCTCACAGTGACCCTATAGAACAGAGTAGAAGTGCTCTTGTGAGTTTCTGAGACTGCAATTCTTTACGGGAATAGAAAGTCCAGTTTCAAGCTGCTACTGACAAGCCAACAGCCCAGGTATGAGAAGTTCTGAGTAAAACATTCGTATCTTCCCAGGGGGTAGAGAGGATCCCTGGTAGTGTGGTGGTGATGTGTTGGGCTACTAACCACAAGGTCAGCAGTTCAAAACCACCAGCGGCTCCATCGGAGAAAAAAGATGAGACTCTCTACTCTACTCCCGTAAAGAGTTAGCATCTCCGAAGCACACGGGGCAGTTCCCCAATGACCTATAGGGTCACTATGAGTGAGAGCCGACTTGATAGCTGTGAGTCTGGAGTTTCACCCAGTGATTCCCATTTGGGCTTCCCAGCTGGGCTCTCCTCTACAGCGTCCACATCCACCACATTGCGCTCTCAGCCAACAGCCGACTTCCTCGTCTCTGACCTGGCCTCGCAGCCTGTGGCGTGTCGGGACCACGCCTTACTCATCCGTCCACCCTCAGTGTCCAGCACAAGGCCAGGCCCACGGGGGACCCCTGGGGTGAGGTAGGCTGCGAGAATGGCCTTCTTATCATCTCGCCCATGCGACGGGTTCAGCAAATGCCTGCTGGCTGGCGGGTAAGTGGGAAGGATGGACAGACAGATGTAACCAGCAGGAAGTGAGCAGGACGTCCGTGGCCCTGCTGCTGGTGGCGGGTGGGCTGAGGAGCCCGGGGGCCCCCTCGTGGCTGCCCGTCACTCACCAGTTGCTCTTCCAGGTGTGGCGGACGTGTGGGTCGTGGATGTTGTGCTTGTCAGCCTGCTCATCCAGGAAGTCGAACATGTACTTGATGGCCAGGGGCAGTGCCGAGCCCCGGTGCGCAGTGCTGAAGATGGTCTCGAACAGATCGTCCACGAACTTCTGCAGCGTGCCCTGAGAGGGGGGATGGGGGCATGGCAGAGCAGCTCGGCTGGAGTTCCGGACAGTTAGCCTGGCGGCCTGGTGCCAAGTCCATACACGGAGTCTTCCTGCCACCATACCCCGCCCCTTTGTTGCTTGACTTTTGCCTCACATTGAGGACCGACCACAGAAGTTCCCCTCCCCATCCCCCCCCCCCCCCCCCCCCCCCCCCCCCCCCCCCCCCCCCCCCAAAGCCCCGCTGGCGGCTCAGGCCGTTGTGTGGGTGGGGTGGGGCGGGGGGTGGGGGTGGTGGTGGTGCTGCTTTATCACTTGTCCCGGGTGAGACGGCAGACTGCTCGCTTGGTCAGAGTGGACAAACACAGCCTGCAGGTTCCCTGGGACAGGGAGTTGATAAAGGAGTCACTCATCTGCCTCTGTGGAGAGCGGTGCAGAGCCCAGCCTCCGGTGAGGGAGACAAGCTGTGGGCACCAACTGTCCCCAGAAGCAGGGGTGCGGGGACCTCACTGGCAGAGCCCTGGTGCCCAATGCTAGAGATAGCATGACGCCGAGATGGGGCCTTCTGGAATGCATTGAGTGTCTGGGGCAGGGGAGAGCTAAACTCGCTAGTGCGCCCGTTCCCATGGCTTTCTTATGGGCTGTGCTTGTGGCGATGGGCTCTTCCAGGAGGCTGAGCCGGAGGCCCCAGGTGGCACAGCGACCTGAGAAGGACTAGCCACTGGGGTCACAGAGGTGGGATGTGCACAGAGGCTGGGCACATCCCCTCTGGCTGGGGCTGGGCGAAGCCCCTCACCCATGCCCCACCGCCTCCCTCGCCCTGGCACCTTGGTGGCCAGCAGTCGGGTCAGGTAGATCTCAGACACCATCTTGCTGCCCCGGTCTCCTTCCTTCTGGTCTCCGTGCTCATGGTTCTTCACCAAGTGCCACATCTTCAGTCCGCTCTCCAGGTCCGGGGTGATCATGGGCGTACGGGAGCGCAGGCTGTCGGGGCTGCCCGTGGACCGGATCATGTTCTCTGCCAGGCAAGTGACCCCTCACACGTCAGCCATGCAGTCTTTGGCCCTCCCCTGGACCTCGAAGTGCTGCTGCCCCAGACCCTTTCTGCAACTGACTTCAGCTGCCCCATGGCCAGGTCTGCCAGGCCCTTGCCCTGGGTCCTCAGGGTGCCCCCTGTGGTGCCTGGACCCGCTCGGATCCCTAAGATCCCTCCCTCGCTCCTGCCCTTAATTGCTCAGTCTGTAAAAACATCCACAGGCCTCGTTCTTTGCTTTGCTTGGGTGCCATCCTCGGGGTGGGCTTTGTGCAGCCAGTGAAGCCGCACTTCCCGAGCTGGCCTGCCCTCTCCCAGGAGAAGGGGAGGCCAGCTGTGCCCTGTCCACCCGCCCCCACCCTCTGACCTATGTGGCTCAAAGTCCCCTGCCCTTGGTTGTTGGGTAGGTGAGCAGGGACTGAGTGGGGGCATTGGCACAGACTCTGGGTTCTCTGGGTAGGATCCAGGGGGCATCTGTGTGCAGGCAGCTTCTGCAATCCCTGTTGTGCTGACCAGGAAGCTAAGGCTCACAACAGTCAGCAGCTTGCCTGAGGACATGCAGGGTGGGTTTGGAGTCGTTGAGGTGGGGGCAAGGGGGTGTGTGTTAATTGCTGAACTTGGGGCTTCTCCCTGCAGCCCAGAAAGCCTGGCCCTGCAAGCACAGCCTCCTGCCACGCTTCATTATGGCCTGACCTCTGCCGCCACTTCTCCCCTGAGCTCTGAATACCGAATCTGCATGCTGGGGGCCGCAGCCAGGAGGTTCCCACTGTGGTTAGGGGCGTGATCAGAGAAGACGACTGAAAGCCCAGGGGAGGAAGTGTGTTCTGGAATATCAGACCCTCATGAAGTTTGACGTTCTGCACCAGGGTCTCTGGTCAGCCGGTGGCCTCTTGCCAAGGCAGGTGCTCCCTCCCATG